TTTCTGTGTTAATAATGTTTCAAAAACAGGGAGTTCCTTCATAAAGAAAATTAATTTATCGCCAAGATACTTTTAGTGATTTTATTGGTTAAAAAAGATTACGTCCTCATTATGAGGGTTACAAAAATGAAATTATTGATTTTAAAAGTAAACAAGTCAAATGGTTCAAAATATATCAGATGTACGTAAAATAAATATGTACTATTTTCCTGTGTTCGATTGTTACAATCTAAGAACATCCAAATACAAATAATGGGATGGCTTATGTGGAAAAAGTAAAATAGAATTCTTATTACTTTATATACCTCACGAATCAGACAAACTGATATTGGAATCAATCAGTTTTGAATTATTTTATTCTGCCATGTTTTTCTTCATAAAATATTGAACACAAGAAATTATTCAAAATTTAAAATGTTGCTCAAAGATTTGACCTTGTTTTAGATTAAATGATTATATTTTCCTTAATAATAATACACCAGAACAAACAATTTAATTTGCATGATTAATATGTGACTTATTTAATGTAATTACATTATGGCTGTTTTGTATATACTGGTAATTTGGGTAACATTGGCAGACTTATTACATAATAAATAGAATACCAGGGTGGAATACACACCCTGCACACAGACATCTATAAATTCTAATATACAAAGGTTAGCTTTATATAGTTACATAACAGCTATCATATTATTTATATTGGTTAGGAAAGTATTCTCTAAACTAAGACCTTTAATCCTACACGTGAACCTAGTCCAGATTACAATAATTAATGATATTCAACTCTTCTAGAGGTCAGTCATATACCCATATCTTATACAAAACACTTTTAGGAAGAAAAAGAAAGTAATACACTAAATGGTAATAGTTATTTTGCTTTTAATTGGTTTGTTTCGTTTATGTTATATTTATGTTTAGTGTTTTGTGTCTTTTTTTTGTCATGCACTTTTCCTGAAGTGACATTTCTTAGCTTTTAAAACTTGAGGTAATTAAAGGACTAAGCATGTCAGAATAAGGGTTAATTATAGAGTTGATAAATAAGACCACACATAATCAATAGAACTTCTATTGTAAACTATTTTGGTCCAAATTATTCAATTCAATCAATTGTGACTGATGTTATGATTACTTTAATAGTTTACATTCACACAATAGTAATGGTGATTTTGTTATCTTTTCATACAAGTCAGCCTATTATTCATGATTTTTTTTATACACCCACATTTTCATGTAGGACAGCTTAATGAGTTAATTTATAAAGATATCCAAATTAGATGTAGAATATTGTAATGGTGAAATCATTCAAGATGGACTCATCAGTATTGACAAATGTTTTGGGTGAAAAATTTCTCATATATATTTATGTAGTGTACACAGATCTGTTTATTATGGTATTACATATTGTTATTCATATTGGTCTATATAGATATATTATCAGTGAATATAACAGTAGCCAGTGTTATATAGTATCTTATAGGTTATCTACTACCATCTTATTATAATTTAATTAAAATCATGTTAATAGGCTGAATTGATTACAAAGGTTATTATTTAATAGGTAATCAATATTAAATTTTTAATGTGTGCCTTATATATTTACAAGAGATATCTTTATTTCATATTCAGTAATACATATTTTGTGTTGTTATAATAAATACACAGAATAATGTGTAACAGTAATATGTTTTAAAACATGGTATTTCATACTTTCGATTTTCTATCATCAGCCATACATTGATTGTTGAATTTATAAATTAGAATTTCAAATATTTAATTAGTACTGATAAATTAATGGTTTATGCACATTTAAAGGAAAAAAATCATATTCGCATACCAAATATATAGTTTTAGGAAATGGTTGTAAAATAGAAACTGGATATTTGTAACAAAGCATATTTTATTTGACCAGTTTTACAGTACTTAATAGGCTAACAGTAACAATGAGGTTTTTTTTATGTTGGTATAATGTAAACTACAAAGTTGATATGTATACTGTTAAGTAGATGATAATGATCATCTGACACCATATATTTTTCTAATTTATTACCCAGTTATTGGTTCTAGGTGAGAAAACTATTTCTAACTGTGGGGAGTCTAGGGAAGCCAAGCTCCATTACATACCAAACACTGCCCCAAATCTGATTACATAATCCCAGAGTTGTGTCAGCCAAGGCTTGGGGCCACTTCAAGATAAATTACCTTCCAACATACAAATGTACATTTGATGTATCTAGAAGAAAGCCAGACAGTGTCTTTCTCTACATGAATGCTAATGACCAGTGAATGTACAGCTCTTATTACAAGCTCTCTACTTGCTTTCAATCAGCTTCTACATGGTTTACATTTTATTGTCAACACCAGAATCTGATGGTAAAGATTGCTTTGTGGAGATTGTGAATTTGTAGTTTGATGGTAATTATTTCTAATTAAAAGTTCAGCTAGTGGAAGGATTTAGTGCAGTGACTTATATGAGTTGGGAATAAATTCTGGTAGGTGTGTACAATGTACATGTATACTGTAGATTGTCAAATGGCATCATTTTGCCATGTTCTTATTGAGTTTTGTGTCGTATATACGAAAAAGGCTGTTGTATTTTGGGTTATTACAATATGTTCTAAATAAGAACTATAACCTGATTGAAATTTAATCCTTGAGTGGCATTTAGCAATTGACCACAATAAAAAAAAAAACACAACATAATCACTGGTTTTCCATATGAACTGTGTTGTTTTTTTTCCCCTGATTGAAATCTCTCTTTTTAATCATTGTTTTAAATTGAATAGATATTACTGGTAATTGAAAAAGTACAATTTGTTGATATTAAAACTATTGAAATATGCTTTAGAAACAGCCTTTCTACTACATAAAGAAATAGATAGCATATTTAATAAGATGACCAACATATGTTGACCTATAAAGTATGTATTTGAAGGTCAGTTTTTAAAAGGATGTATGTGTGATGTCAATCTGTTGCCCAGAGATATTTACTGAGATGGTTTTATGACTTGGACATGGTGGGTGTTAAATATCTGTCAGTCTGACAACTGTTCCTGATTACAGCCTGTCTCAGACCATTGAAATTTTTCATATTCCAACATGCCAATCACAAATTACTGAACCAGAAGACCTGCAAAATCTATTTGTGATCATCTTTCACATAAATTACTTTGGTAGAAAAGGGTCATTGTTAATGACCCTGCAACTGGTCTTCAAGGATATGTTATTTTTGAAACAGTATTTTATTTCTGATTTTTTTTTTTGTAGAATAATTAATTTAAAAACAAAATCTACATTGATTTACATCCATTACTTACAGCAAGTTTTATATTACTTTGAATTATATCATTTATTTATAGCAACTTTTATATTAAATTGATTTGCATCCATTGTTAAACCAGCCATCATATTAAACTTTGTTTCGGGTTCATTTTTTTAAACAAATTTCCGTATGAAAGTTTGCATTGTGTCCATTCGAATCAAATCAAGATCTAATCACATGTTGGTTACATGTGACTCAAGAAGTGGAAGTGGGTTATTGAAAAGGCACCCCTTGGGCTTAATTTTCATTTTGACAGGATAATAAGTTGATCCTTTGGACTTCATAACTTGGCACAAAATAAACTAATATAGCTAGAGAAATAACTCATGAGATTCTTATTATTTTTATCTAAACTTAGGCTTTCATAAAATATGTAAATTCAGACGTATTTGGCGATGTTCACTAAAAATAAAGAATTATACAGCTTTTCTAACATTTAAATACTTATGCAGTCTTACAGATCTTTAAAATAATCAATTCTTGAAAGCTGACATGCCACTTGTGTTTATTTATGATAAAATTAGAATAATACAAAGTCTTACTTTTTTATTTTAAGAAAATAGTAGATGAAAAATAATTTGAATTTGAAATAAAGGTATTCCTTAAAATGTATTCAAATAGTTTATGGCTTGTTGACATAAAGGATTAATACTGAAATTACTCTAATAAAAAAAAAACAGGTATTCAGGTCATAAAGTATTCACTGTTTTTTTAAGGAAAAAGAAGACAACAGCAACTGAATTTTAAATTTTATTACTGAAGTAAAGAGTACATGTTTTATTCAGGTTAAATGATTTAATGTATGCCATTGAAATCATCAAGAATTAATTTTATCTTTTATCTGGTCTAAATGTCAATAGGCAGGCATTTGTAAATGAGAACTGATTCTGCAAGTGTAATGTTTAATTTATGAGGCTGTGTTTTGTTAGAGCTTTGTTTAGGGTTTTCTATAAACAATAAGCCAACCCAAGCACTCTTCCTCTTTGGTGTAGTAAGATTTCCACATGAGCAGATATCAGCTGGTGATACAGGTTAAATAGGATGGATTGACTTTTAATAGCCTAACCCATCTGTGATTCTACTTTATACCAACATTAATAACATTGTCCACTGTGTGGTCAAGTCCTGCTTCAAATCTCTCACCCAAAGTTGTCTTAAGCCACTTGAATTTGGAGGTAGATGCATCATATGAGTTAAAGTTGTGTAGGTTGTCACTGGTGAGAAGAATTTTTTCTAATCCTCCTTCAGATCTAATCCATAAACTATGAAAAGATAATCTTTCTTCATCATCATGTGACATTTGCTCTCAGGGGATTTAACAAGTTCAGTCAGTTCTCAGATCAATCAAGTTTTTCTCATTAGACTTGGTAGAGTGCAGCCTGTAGCAGGCATAGTGTGTATCAGTAAGGTTGTAAAATGATTGTCTAGATATATATTGAAAGATTTATCTATTTATTGCTATTTTAACTGATGTATGACCAGCCATTATAGGATGTATATCAGGTACCAGTCAGCTCAGATATACTGATTGGGGTATTTTATTTAGTAGTAATACAAAGGTTGGTCAGTGTGAAGTGTTTTGGATTGGATTTATTTTTGGGTGGGGGAATATTTCTTTATGAGAACTTATTCTATTGATTAACTAGAAAAATAACTTAATTTGTTTTATTAATTTCAGATTGTGTGTTTGAAGAGGCTAGCTGGACCCAATGTTTAGATTCAATCAGTTGAAAGTGTCCATCTATTGTTCATATTACGTGCCACAACCGTACCAGTTGTCACCATGATTGAACTCGACTGGTGGAAAAATGTCATCGCAGCCGATATCTACGCCACCCTTAAACAACGAGAACATGAAATCCCGCAATTTCACTGCCAGTCATTAAAGTTATGGAGCAGACGACATCTTGTGGACTGGTTATCTGTGATTGTAGAACAACTACACATTGACCCCATGGCACAACATCTTTCTGTGTACCTGTTGGATTATTTTCTCGATAAAATGGATGTAGAACATTGCCATCTTTATTTACTGGCTATGACTTGTTTACGTTTAGCTAGTAAGTTTTGGAGTTTACTTAGTGTTTTGAAGATTCCATAAACTAGGATTTAAATTATTTTCTGTTGATGTTGATATTCAAGGATATTATCACCCATTGTGCAGTTGAAAATTTTAATTTGTGAAATTTAAAATCCAGATTCATCATATATGAGAGAACCTAAATTTTCATTATTCTTTATGCCTACATGTACATCCACTGTTCTGTCCTTATTTATTTGATTTAAATATGATGATTTCTCTATTTCAGTAAAATTTGAAGAGAGTTGTGATAAAGTGCCAAGACAGGCTACTCTAAATGCCTTCATTCCAAAAACTTGTACATCAGCTTTACATGGCTATACACCAGATGAATTTCTCAGTATGGAACTAACAGTGCTTAAATTTCATAAATGGCAGTTAGCTGTGCCGACTTCTGCTCATTTCTTGCCTTATTTTTTGACAATTGCTGCTGATGAAGGTGATTTACATAATGGTGTTCCAATCATATCAAAACAAATAATGTGTCAGTACATAGAAAAACATGCCAAATATTTTATGGAGATCTCTTTACAAGGTAAGCTGTGACAATATAGTGTAATTTAGCAGATTAATGTCCTGCTGGGCTTTAACCATATCAACATAATTATAGAGATCAAAGAGATAAATGAAATTAAGTGCACAGTTGTACAATAGTTCATTTGCAACTATTTCATAAACGATTTAAGGATATATTTACTATTTTGCCAAACAAAAGTTTGTAATGTGTAATCAAAGATACATTATGTAAGATTTAGATAAAAAGCTGTACGTTCTTACTGTAATCTCAATCAGCTATTGATACCAAAGAGGAAACTTGTAACCTTTGGCCAAGACTATTTTCTATTGCTGCTGCGGAGAGATTAGAATTCACTCGCAGTTGAACTTTGTTTTGTGACTTCTTTGTCAATCTTCAAATCTTGCTTAAAAACTCATCTGTTTAAAATTAATTGCAAAATCTGACAAAAAAACATTGCCAATGAACTTTAGTTTTCATATGCGCTATTAGCACGTTTTGTAGATATGGCACTGTAGAAATTGACATATTATTATTATTATTAACATTATAATAGTTCAAAAATGAAAAATGCATATATTGAAAATTTTAGTTATGAATGTTTGAAGTTCACAAAAAATAGCCATAATTGGCTGAATGATAGTTCATATTCTCAATTGTCAAGTTCCATTGCCACAATAATCAACAAGATTTTTATACGCCTACATGGAAATGTGTTTGTATATAGCTGATCTGTACGAAATTTATATCCATCATTCAATTTAAATTAGTGAAACGAAGAAGCTGATTGAATTTCAGCAATTTCCGTTAATTATGTCTAGGAGTTATGGTTCTTATTTCACTTGGCAGGCATTGGTTAATCCACTTAATATCTAAGCCAACAGAGAGTTGATTATAGGTTTGTCATTTGAATAAATGTCTAAATGATAATTCATGAGACATTTGAATTCATCTAGGCTGGTTTAACTCTTACATAATGCATTGTTAAGAAGAATAATGATTATGTGTAATGTATATATGACTCATGATGTTATTCACTACAAATGTGTATATATCTTTAAAATTGTGTTTGTTTCAGATCATACATTCCGTGATTATATGCCATCATTAGTAGCTTCAGCTTGTATAGCAGCAGCTAGAATCTGTCTATTACTTACACCAACCTGGCCGAAACATATGATGTTATTATCAGATTATTATCTAGAAGAATTATTACCCTGTTTACAATTAATGCTCAGGTATAAAAAACACTTTCATTCTGATATATCTCCATAATATTATATAACATTATAGATTGTGTTTAGTTAATTACTTGGTAAAGAATAAAACCAGCATTTTACCTGTAAGGTTCATATGACAATGAAGAGCAATTACATTAAATTATGTAACAGGTTATAATTTATTTTATTGGTTTGAACTAAAATACTTTTTCTTAAAGCTGCTGTATTCTATAGTGTTTGAAATATAATTGATTTCTTCAGTAGTACATAACTTCACGTGTAATGAAGCGCTATATAAATCGAACAATAATAATAATAATAATAATCATAGTGAATACAGTATTTCGTTTTGAAAAATATATCATTTTGTGTAAGGGAAGGGAGATAACTCTTTATTTCAAAATATTTTCATCTTTCTTTGGGCTAAACTCGATTTCGTTAAAGCAGTGACTGAGAATTATAAATATTGGGGTATCTAGTCTCAGTCTGTCTAGAATATAGTGCACAGAGTTTGGTTATTTTGCTAGGGTTGGGAAATGGTTTATAGTATAGAATAGGGGTGGCCAACCTTTTACATAAAATGCGCCAATTGATTCACACATGAATGCAGATGTGCCATGCAGCTCTTGTATCCTGGTCTACTTATTGTAAAAATATGTTTATAATAATAGACATGATTAGCATTTTTCTTTTGATTGCAGAACAAAATTCTATCTTTCCCAGTTTGATTCATTAAACATATTTTTAAACTGAAAACAGATTAATGTGAAAAGTATATAATATTCGCTAAAAAGGATGGGCAGGAAATAAAAAATATTGCTAAAGATAATGAGTAGACCACTGCCTTGTTTTATTGTTTCCTAATTCTAGTCATCCAATGTTCCACGTTTGCCACATATGCTGGAGGTTAGCCATCTCAGGTACAGAACTTTCTCAACATTTAAAAACAATTAATAATATTAAACTGTATATTATTTCAGTACACACAGAATGGATAAAGTAAATCAAGTAGCTCAAACTAGTCAAGTTGTTCCTTTTACATCCAGTATTCCATGTACACCGTGTTTACCATATCAAGGTGCCTTTATAGACTATACTAATCACAGGAATTCAGTGGTGTTAGCAGGTGCTCCAGCTCTTATCTCACATCAGTTGCTCCGGTGATAATAGACCCCATTTACTTTAAATAGTGTACAGGTAATTATTTATATTGTCTATTTAGTTTACAGTTGAACCAAAACTGTATCTAGAAGTAATTTTCTTCAATTTAATTAATATTTTTTAACAGTTGAGCTCCTAAATATATAACCATGGATTTAAAAATAAATTAAGATTACTGGAAACATATTTCTTAGCAAGTACCAGAGCTTCAGATGTTAGAATAACTAAATTAATTTACATATTCAAACATACTATGAATATGAATGCGTAAAGGCTGATAAATAGTAACAAATTATTCTGCCTTCCATAGACTTATTGCCCTAATAATAGCTTCAAACAGTACATTAGCTCTCAGCTATATTAATTTTCCAAATTTCTAATGACATTAAAGCACAGTGTAGCTCTTTTATTCAAATGTATTTTTAATTGTTATTTCTATTGTTTTTTGTAGGTTGTGAATGAAAGAAGTGTGATGTATTTATTGTGAGTGAGTGGTACCAGTGAAACTGACACCTATTGTCTGTGATATAACAACATATTTACAAGTTCATCCAAACATTATCTGATGTTATATACTGTTCATTTAATGTTCATAGTTAATCTTTCTTTATGTGTTCAGTTTATTCAAGTTTAATGTGTTCAGTCATTAGAGTATTTATTGAAAAATTTGTTTTCAATTTGGTAAAGTAAAATATATTTTTGTAGCCCAATAAAACCGTTTTTTTGCTCTCTATATAATATATTGAAGTACTGTACAATATCTTTTCAAAAAACAAATTCAGCTATTGAGAAAAGTGTGAATACCAGATTGGAAACAAAATCTGTAATATACTTCATATAAAAACTTTAGATTAGATTAGTTGGATAGTGGGATTAGTTATTGAGAGTCCCACTTGATTACATGTTCAGTCATAATAATATTAAGTTACCTTGTAGATCACTAAAAGCATGTGTAGTACTAGTTGATTGACACTAATTATTGAAATTTTTGGCACTATATACTACTAATACCTTAGAATAATAAATGTATTATATCCATTAGTCATTGTTTACACATAGATATAAATAACTTTATTTGCACATTTGTTTAAAAGAGTAAATGTATATTTGAAAGCCATGTATGATGAAAGTATAATAAGTCAATGTTTATGTTCAAGTTTTAAATTGAAGCCGTTAAAAATAAATTGTATTCTTATATATTTTATAACATAAATATTGAGAGTTATTTTGAGTTGGTGGGGGTGATCGTAGAATGGTTAGCACATGCACGCTGTATCATAAGGTCTGTCATTGACAAGTAGTAGGGTCACCTGTCCAACCTTGTGGGTTTCCTCCCACTGCTAAAGACCCCTACGTGCAAGCGAATTATTGAAATAAAATTGAACCATATGTTAGTCCCAAAATGACCTAGTTTGTGTCGAGTGGGCATTAAACCCCATTTCTCTCTCTATTTTGAGTTAATGTAATGTTTGAATTATTTTGATTATTGGAATCCATATCTGCATGATTGAAAAAAATATCTGTGGACTAAGAAAAACAATTTTAATTCTGCAAAGATGGCTATTAGAAGGAATTATTGATGTTTGGAGATATTATAGGAAGCTGTTGTCAATAAATGTATAGTTTTACTAAAATAGTAATTTCAGTGTATTTAAAGTGTGTTTACACCAATGATATATTTTACTCTAGTCTAACATTTGTTAAAATTAAATCAATATTTAGAGATTCATGAGTCACATTTCTGAAAATTATCTACAAATTAAATGTTTCTGCTTTAATTCTTTGAACTCTTTATGAGATAGTCACATGTTATATACCTCCCGATGTACTTTAAATATTCCAGTATGATATTAGTCCTAATACTTGCCACTGTTCTTTCATTTTTTTAAAAGTTTTTCTCTTGAATTGATGTTGTTAATCTTTTAGCTTCGCTGTTTCTGTCCATAATATATTTTAGTTTTTGTTATACTCCTAGATAATTTGTATATAGTTTATTGTCTATGGTTTTAGAAAATTTGAATTTAACTTGTAAATATTGTATAGTTCATCAATTCAAAATCAGAAAAAAATACAAAAACAGTAATTATGAATAAAGAATAAAGTTACTATTGAACTATTCAATTTTATTGTTCTATCATGTTCTTGTTATTAAAAATAGTTCTTTACGACCAGTCTCTGGGACATAATCCAAAGCGATCATCTGAAAGTTTGTATTTCTTCCAGTAAATATCGTAAAAACTCAGATTATTGCACTCGACTAAATGACTGTTTCTAAAAGATTTAAACACAGAACCAGTATTTGTCCCTCATCTTGTGGGTAACACGTTTAAGGGGAAACAACTGCGCTTTGCATACTTCTAATTGTTCTAATAACAGATATTTTATGTAGAGATAAATTTGTTTTTCTCCATTGTAGCATGCCCGTTGTTGTGTGTGGTTTGGTCTAGAATTTTGTCAGTTTTTGGTGAAAAATAAAGATCGGGGGAAAAAATAGACGTCCATAAGGGGAATTCTACTGCAGGTTCATTTAACCTACAGCTGTTACATATCGAGACAGTCAACCCCTTCAGGATGTTGGTTGAGGCTCCAAGGAATGTCCAGGAGTGTTGTTATATTATAGGCCCAGAATATGAGAGAGAGAGAGAGAGAGAAATGGGGTTTAACGTCCACTCGTCCACTCGACACAAACTAGGTCATTTCGGGACTGACATATGGTTTAATTTTATTTCAATAATTCGCATGCACGTAGGGGTCTTTAGCAGTGGGAGGAAACCGGAGGCCCCAGAGAAAACCCACGAGGTTGGTCAGGCGACCCTACTCCTTGTCACGTACAACCGGGGATTCGAAACCACACCAGTTGACTCAATGACAGGCCTTATGTTATAGCGCGCACCTGCTAACCATTCGGCCATCCACCCCCCTAACAAAATATGTCTACTTTATAACCCCTCCGTATACATGCCATTGAACCCACTCCTCAGTGCTACGGAAGCTAAGAAAGCCTAGATTATATTGTTCATCGTCACTTTTGGTGCAAGAACATACGACTTTAAAACCCAATATATTTCATTTCATATAAGCTGTATAGACCTACATGATTGCCTTTTTCCTTCAGGTTTACAATATGCATGAAAGTCATGATTGTGGCATATGTTACTGTTATTTTATAGGTTTATCCGACATGCAGTACGTCTATTGAAGTAATCTCAACTTAATTTATTGACGCCAGTTCCATGTCATAAATAATATTAAGATGGTGTTATTGCCTGCTATCACGTAGTCTGTACATAGACCATTGCTATAGAAAATATATGACCAGGTAATAAAACGGTATTAGCGGTATCGTTTATTCGGGGAACATGATATTATTTTTGCACACGGTTAATTCTCGGTGTATGGCAGCATTGATTAGTTCATTCAACCAGTTCGATGGCGAGATCTTCCTGGATGATTCCCTCCCGGTTATACATTTGGGCACACTGATCAGCAGTGAATATTCGCTAGACCGCTACAATCACTGATAAAGAGAGAGAGAGAGAGAGAGAGAGAAATGGGGTTTAACGTCCACTCGACACAAACTAGGTCATTTCGGGACTAACACATGGGTTAATTTTATTTCAATAATTCACTTGCGCGTAGGGGTCTTTAGCAGTGGGAGGAAACCGGAGGACCCGGAGAAAACCCACGAGGTTGGACAGACGACCCTACTCGTTGTCACGTACAGCCGAGGATTCGAAACCACGCCAGTTGACTCAATGACAGGCTTTATGGTACAGCACGCACGTGCTAACCATTCGGCCATCCAACCCCCCAATCACTGATAAGGATGACATCGATGGGACTTAATGAGCCACAAATATTAAAGATACATTATGGGAGATAAGATAAAGAGATGGCAGTTCTCACTATAATAGTTAAAAACTAGATAATGTAAAGGTAATTTGCTGAAAATTTCAGTCAAATTGATCCACTATGAGCCGAGAAAGAAGCGGGTGAAATTTTTGCATAGTCTTGGTCATCATTACTAAAATCATTAATATAAACAGCATAGTCTCGATTATCCACTTTTATTGATTTAATTATCAATAGCCGTTAGCGGCATATAGGAATCTAATCCAGCCAACATCGAAGGCTAGCCTTGACATCGAGAGTTTATTATGGTCTGGATAAGTTAATTAATGTCTAATTGATAATTTAGATAACATTTCAGGCCTAAAAAAGACTTGTAATAAGCAGATTTTGCTCTTGCATAATGCATGTTTAACTTTTTTCCTCCGACAAATTAAATACTAAAACATTTTTTTTATGTATTAGAAATTTAAATAAAGACATTTGAAGTATTTGTAGCTAAAATTATTTCCTATTTAGTGTAAATGGGTATTATAATGAGTTAAAGGCACCATTCTGCCCGAACCAGTACGTCTTATGTAAACAATGCACGCGCCATTGAGTCAGTGTTTGACAGCGCGTGTTGAAGACAGTCATCTTTCACAGAGATATTAGAAGACTTTCGTAATCCTCTGTGAAATAGATTGACATTTGGGCAGCACCCTTATCGACGTTGCAAGGAAAATGGTCTAGTCGATTGGCATGGTATGCGCGGTTACTACCGTAAGTCTTTCTCATGTATGAGTAGTAAGATGCGCAGACCCACTATTTTATATGTTTAAGTTCTCTTTATATAATTATGGCATACAGTGTCCTTGACAGCGTATTTCTCTGTACATTCCAAGTTGTTGTTTTTTTAAAGTGTACTGCGGTTCTCTTGCACTTTCCCGCGTACAAACTGGGTGATTTAATGGTATATATTATGGACTAAAAACATATTCACTACCCGCGTCTTTTCCCGTCATTTTTATCTCAGAAAGTGTTGTACATCTAACTCTTCATAAAGTTCATCAACTTGTACATCAAGCGCTCAATGTTCGCGTGTGAAATTCCTAATTTTTGTCCTGTATACGCCCCATGAGTGTTTTTCGGGGAATCCAGTAAGATTGGATATCTCTACTTTCCATATATACCAAAATTGCCATACTTTTATTGGAAATAACCACCCGATAAATACTTTTCTGGGAACCCATCTTTAACTATAGTAACAACACAAGTATTAAAATTATATTTTATTTGTAGATAACATCTTACATATAACAACGGGATTGATTTAATAAATTAAATAATGATTTATATTACAAGTATATTCATTGATAGTTTATCAGTGGTAGTCATACAATATACTGATATGCATAGCTAAATAAAGCTATAGGCCCTATAACAATACCCGAACACTCAAGGTAAGGCATCGCGGTAAAGGCCTACGATTAATTTTAATCGCAGATTACCATAAATGTCAAGATTATATATTTAATCGGTTTCAATTCAATCTATTCGGAGTGATAATTTTGGCTTATTCTTAGTGCAGGTAGCGCATATTCTGGTTGATAAGTTGTTCAAATGCATTTTACAAGGGAATTTAAATCCTACACACCAGAATACAATTCAAGATAGGTCCTACTTGATTATTTAGTTTTTCTTGTCATTGAAGGTTTAAAAGGATCAATTCAAAAGATTTCGTGGACAAGGCAATGGTGATTTGATTTTGAAACAGATTGCTGTAATAGTCCAAATCTATTACCATTACATAAACATGTATATATCAAGTTCACGTACGAACGTGTGAATTTCTATATTCATTGTGAGTACAACAATTACATAACTTGCCATTGAAAACACTAATTCAGACATAAACACGTTTTATTAAGTTATCTCCCTTAGGAATCTGTTAAACTAGAAAAAAATTACTTTATGACTGGGCAAAGTTCCATTATGACAATAAAAAGTTGATATTTTTTAATACAAAGATATGAGATTAACATCAACTCCACATGTAAGTTATAAATGATACATTTCTACACTTTTTTATGCATTTCTTTCATGCTCTTGGTTTGAGGTATTTTGGATGGCTATGATTATACTATATAACACAAAGAATAGAAATCGAATAGCAATGGATTAACGCCGTGTCTATTAAAATGTACAAATTTATTTATTATGGAATGTGCGAAAATTCGCAAAACTTCTATAAAAATATTTAATACAGAACTACCTTTTGATATTAAAAAAAACCGAAAATGTAATATAATAATACATGTATTGCAAAAAAGCATGCTGGCGAATTTGACCGAAAAAGGCAGTGGAAAGGCAACTGGTCTCCTGCATGTTTTTGTTTTATATAGATATAATAATGTAGTTTTGAAATATTGCAATTACGATCCCTTGGCATATTCTAAACATAAACTTAGTGTCAGTTTGTTATGAGATAAGCGATAGTAGCTATGACATCTGAAAAGATTTCATATAACGGATTGCAACCGAAGCGATTCAGCCCCAAATCTAAAAAATACTACTGAACAAGAATCGAATTTTAAGACAATCCTTTTAAAACGAATAAAAACAACTGTTGCCGAAAAAATGACAATGATCTAAACACCATGAACACATGAAGAACAAATCAGAATAGACTAAAGAACACTATGGAAATTCCATTCCATTTTGAAAATGCTAAAACTTCTTCTGGATTTAAAATGGCTAAGTTATTCAGTCAGTAACTGAGCCACTGTTAGCTGGTAGACCTTGCTGTTGTCGCCATCTTGCTAATCTATTCTGAAACCATAACTGAAATTTAAAAAAAAGTCAATTTTATATATATATAAAAAAACCCCAAGAGATTGATAGAGAACAAACTAAACAAAAAAACGATTTTTCGTACAAGCAAGGGCCATAATTCAGGAAGTTACGATCCGATATGCGCGAATATAGACAGGAACCAAGATCTTTGGGTTATAAAAATATATTTCAAGTTTCATCAAAATCGGATCAAAATTGTGACTTCTAGAGGGTTCACAACCTTGATATACCATATATTTACGCTATTTGCGTACGAGGGGTGGCCATTTTGCCCGCAGTTTTGGTCCGATTTTCAAGAAATTCCTACTCAACCATCATTAGGGTGTAACGGTGATACATTCAAACGTTTTCTTTTTTTAAATCGAATAAAAATTGTGACCTCTAGCTAAAAACGCGATTTTTCACACAATCAAGGGCTATAATTCAAGAAGTTATAGTCCGATAGGCGCGAATATTGAAAGGAACCACGATCTTTGGGTAATAAAAATGTATTTCAAGTTTCATCAAAATCGGACCAAAATTGTGGCCTCCAGAGGGTTCACAACCTTAATATACCATATATTTATTTACACTATTTGCGTACGAGAGGCGGCCATTTTGTCCGGCAATTTTGGTCCCATTTTCACGAAATTCGAACTCAGCCATCAGGGTGTAATGGTGATAATATATTCAAACTGGTTTTTTTTTAGATCGGATAAAAATTGTGACCTCTACAGTGACCATGTAAAAACGTGATTTTTCGTACAATCAAGGGCCATAATTCAGGAAGTTACGATCCGATATGCGCGAAGTTTGAAAGGAACCAAGATCTTTGGGTTATGAACATATATTTCAAGTTTCATCTAGAGGGTCCACAACCTTGATATACATTTTTACATTATTTGCGAACGAGGGGCGGCCATTTTGGTCCCATTTTCACGAAATTCGAACTCAGCCATCATTAGAGTGTAAAGGTGATATATTTAAACGCTTTTTTTTTTAAAATCGGTTAATAATTGTTACCTCTAGAGAGACCACAAGCTAAAATCGCGATTTTTCGTACAATCAGGGGTCATAATTCAGGAAGTTACGATCTCATATGCGCAAATATCGAACCGAAAGGGGCGACGACAAAATTCGTCCACATGAAAATGTAGAGGGTCCAAACCTACTCCTGCTCAGCAACATAAAAATTTGTAAAACAACACTTTTTATGAGAATGAGAATAGTCTCTCAATTGTGTGCTTTATCCTTTATCGTCAGATGGTGGGATGGGGTGGGCATTCAAAGCGGGAGATAATGATATAGGCATTTGTGATATCACAATTAATGCTTTGCATCAATAAAATTGAATCACAATGTCATCGCATTAATTCATAATAAAAATTGACGATAGAGACCATGTATTTCTCAAAACATTTCAAGGCCGCGGGAGAGACAATCCTATTCTAGATGATCGATTGCATTTTTTTTTAAAAAAAAAAGCTATATTATTATAAAAGTTTTTATTAATATTAAAGATTTAGTAAACTGTTTTATTTCACGGATATTCAAAATGAAAATAAAGTGCCTGTGGCAATATATAATTAATCACTATCTGTAATTTAATAGCAGAGTGTAATAGCATGGTATGAGTCATACCTCATGTATATAGTAAACTTATATAAGAAAATATTGATTATGGTAATTTACAAAAGAGCAATTAATAGAATAAGTGGTATACACGTATAGCCAATATGCAATCTGTTAGATTGTAAGTATAATGTTGTGTAATATATTATAGCCATTGGTACTGTGAATTGTGAAGGCTTGTAGTAAAAGTAATTTGTTATCCTGCGTTTCAAAGTAGGGTATCAGTAATGCAAGCAAAGAAAGTTGCCCACTTTAAATTCCACATTTAAAAAATATCAGCCAATAAAAAAATAATGACAAAACATAATTAAAGAAATTCGTTCATGGATGAGTCAATAGTTTAAAACTTAATGATGAAAAGACCGAATTCATTGTGATCTGTCTAAAACATCAGTCACAAAAGTTGCCTCCGGATGTGTCGATCAAAATTGGGGATGTGGTAATCGGACGAAATGATAATGCAAAGAACTTGGGCTATATCTTTGAAAAACACCTCCCCAACAGACCTCAAATAAACAGTATCGTAAGCAAAATGAATTTCCAGTTGAGAAATATTTCTAAGATTAGAAAATGTCTGAATAGGGACTGTGCCATCAGTGTAGCTACTGCACTTGTAACCTCGCATCTGGACTAAGCTAATTCATTATTAGCTGGAACACCGGACTCAGATTTACACAGGCTGCACAGCATAATGCTGCTCGGATTATATGTGGAGCTCGAAAAAGGGAACACATCACACCAGTAGAATCCCGCATCTCTTTTAACATATTGTGCAACACATACAATTCGCTATACCGATTTCCATCCAGTCTATCTGAAAGAACTTCACACATATTATTCCAACCAACGATCTAATCTGAGATCAGCCGATGACAAAACTCGACTTTCGATCCCAAAATTCAATAAACAAGTTGGCCAATTCTCATACCCCTGTAATTCTGCAAAACTCTGGAACAATCTTCCTGTAACCATTAGACAATCAAATTCATATTATATATACTCCAAGCGATAAAACAAGCTGCCTAATGTACCCATCAGTCTTATGTAGTATGAAGTTTCCTTATTGATAAAGGGGGGTCTATATCAACTTTTAATTTCAATAAAAATATGAATCACTAAGTGATCAGTGAATTATATACCTGTTAGTTATATAACCTTTATATATAGTATATAATGTGCACGATGGGCAATTTAGCCCCCATAAACTTTTTTTTTTTTAACTTAGTATGATCTAGAATGTGCATCGTGCACGAGGCAGCTGGGTTATGTTTACGTTACGGAAAGCCTGACACCATTCGTTAATAATTTTGTATTTATCTTAACATTTCAAATACATTCTCTCCCTCGGAACTTTCGATATCTTTATAGCCGAACAGAATTAATGGCATTGCTGAAAATTAGCTGACATGTTGCAGTAATGCCTTCTTATTATTTATTTTCGAGCAATTATTTATTTATAATTAATGAATTCTATATATCAGTTGATTTAATTTTTTAAAAAAGCACTTTACAATAAAATAAAAAGTTAAGTTCATTATATTGTTTTCTTTCATAGTAATTTATGATTGTAAGATACGTAACAAACTATAATCATTACTGGGCATATGTTACGACAGATCCTATGTATTTTTTTAAAAATGTGTTATGTTCTAAGAATATCTAACCTTTGCACAGTTCATAATTAATATAGACATGATAACAACCAGCTAAGATTTTTATCATACAGGAAGTATGCAGGATTTTAGTCAGATTAAATGAAGTGTCAAAAGTGGGCTTTATGTGCCAATCTGTATCCACAAAGAAGTCTGTTTTATCGATTCGTAAAACCTATAGGGCTTATGGACGTATTTGACCATCTGATTAGAAACTGTCCAAATTGAAACAATAATGATAATCACATCTGCGTCTATTAATCAATTTCAAATCTCAAACCGAAGTTTAGTGGTTAAACATCCTATAATGTCGACTACAATCCTTTGGTGTTTTCATCAGGAAATATTATCACCAAATCAAATCACGAGAGGTGAAGTCAATACTCTACAAAAGAAGCTATTTACAATCCATGCAATGTACATTTTATTATGACTATGTTGTCAATCATCCTAATCAAGACCATAAAAATCTACAGATGGATAAGAAGAATATTGATGTCCTAATATGACCGACGGAAGCTTTGTCATGTAAAAGCTAAAATAGAAGTACTTCATTCATATGGTAATCATTAACCTACTAATGCTGAACAAAATGTGGTCAACCTCCTTAAAACGAGGGAAAACAATCGTTTCGGTTGTTATTTTGTTAAATAAGAAAACTTATTTGGTATGTGAAAGTACTAAGTTAACTTTTGAGCCCCCTTTCCATCACTTCCATTTGATTAAAAGGTTTCATTTTAGCTATCTGATTTATATGTATAGAAGAACTGTGTGAAGAGATTTATTTATTAAAGGCCCGCTTGATTTTATACTAAAACTGTTCTCAGTTCTCACTCACCATTTAAAATAATATGTCTGAATATGGCGAAAAGTCCTATCGACTCGACTGGAATTAAGACTTAATAAAATAGATCAATAATACCAGACGTTTGGCCAACGTCTGGTCCGGGACGGGACGAGAGAAACAGATTGTTTTTACAAATTCTATCAATTTTGAGACAGAGATCACAAAGGAATCCACATTATCCGCTTTAACCATCTGTATTTGTTCAATTCCAGTAAACATTGTACTAAACAAGCTGGTTCCACGCAGCGCTACAGGTCATTTAACCCAATAGATACAGAAGTAACCAAGAAAGATGGTATTCTTTTATTTAGGGTTAAATTCGATATTCACTGAGTTATCATGAAAATAAATTACTTCTACAAGATTATATTTCTTTTATCTGTAGTTATCTGTAGTTTCTTGTTATCAGATTCAACTTCTAATTATACCCAACTATACTATTGTTAATTATAGGCTGTTGAACGTCATTTGGATGGATTGAGGAATCTCTTGCAAACTATAATTATTGTAAATGCTGATTCTCTAAAAGGAATATCAGTCCAAACATGGTTCAATTCCGTTCAGTATTTACACAAATATGTAAATTGAACACTTAGAATCATTTGGTGCCCTTTTCAGACGATATAAACAAGCCAACACCATAATAAGTTCTGAGTAAAATCTTTTAACGGGTCTCTTTTTTCAATCTAACTGTATCCAGTTCTAGAGATTATCTATCGTTGACATGTATTTTTTTTTGTTGATTTAAAAATACTTATTTCGATAGCTATGTTTGTGGAGAAAAGTAGGACGTTAAACCCCACTTTGCATTTCATTTGTTAATTACAGTGTATATGTTAAATAACCATTTTGTGTACATTTTCACCGTGGATTAAGTCGTGAAAATTTCATTGGATATTGTCCAAAAGAAGCTTTAAGATAAACATTGCACTATGCAGCTGCAACTAAACAATGGAGTTAACATGCCCTGATACCCCAGTAACACATTCAAGCAATAGTGACAAGGAAAACATCTCATTTTCTTTTGTGACACTATAGCTATTATAGTAATTATCCTTACACAATGTGAATTTTACACCTTGGAAATAAAGGAAAACTTATATGTACTCGGACAAAATTATCATGTACTTCTTCGAATGAATATTTCTATGGTTTATTCTATAAATTCCCCTCTACTAACAACTTTGGAAATATGAAGGCATACACGAATTTTCTGCAGATCCCATGTGCACCCCACCCACCCCGGCCACCTTATGGTGGAGGGGTGAAAAGGACAATGTATACAAACTATTATTCATGTTACGTGATGAATATGAAACTCTGTATTTATGATTGACAGTGGGTGGTAAAGTTAACATTGTTATTAGTATACGTATCTATACATACAGAACATAACATCATGTAGGTAAAATACTGCTGAGAAACTTGACACCTATTCATTTACGAGTTGTGTCAGTCATCTCGCGGTGCTTTTGATGTTTATATTACACGTGACATAGAATAAAGGGGGAAATGTACATATTGACTTAGATTAAAGATAGCCACTGGTCTGTCACTATTTTGACAAAAGGATAGAGCCCTCGTCTTTAGTCATACTAAAGTTTATTTATAGAAGAGAACTACGGGGTTTATATACATTAGCACGATTTTAATTAAAATTATAACAAAATTAATTATGTCATTACATATTATACTTCAAGAAAAAAAATAAATAACCCAACGGCAACCAGTATACATAGAGAATATTTTTTGAAAATGAGTTTGTAACTATATTACACTACTGAAATCAATTATTATTCTTAGCCCTTATAAAAGATGCTAATTTTCTTGTTTAAAAAATTAAAAACATAAAAGGCTGACAGAACGTACATATTCCAATCGCCCTTTTGTCGACTTTTAATTTTGTGCATACAAGAAATGAACTATGGAACTTAATGAATAAATTATTGTTTGTACACTTGACATTGAAACATATGTTCTAATTATTTGGGGTATTTTAAAAATAAACCATATAATCCAAGGTTCTGCATATACAAGTATGTGAGGTATTTAACTTAAATATGGGTTAATGATAGTCATCTACATTAGGTACATACTTAAAAGAAACGTGTTGGGTCAGGGGGCCTCAAAGAGATAACAGGTATTTTTTTTCCCATGACATCAATTTAGTTGCATTTAAGCTTATTAATTAAACGTATCGATTTTTAGCTATGGAAAAAGAGATGAGATTCGCAAAATTTAAAAATTGACCACCCGTAACCAAAACTCAGGAGATCCGTGATACATCCTTGAAAGGCTGCAAGGAACTTCAGAGGCAAAGAGAAATACCAGAGATATTTTGATATCTGGTCAATGGCTATCATAGTCATGTTCGTCGTGTACATACAATCTTTCTGGATATTATTTTTTCAATGAACATGCACTCGTGGACCAGATAGGAAAAGCAATACCTGCACCTGCGTCACATGTAAATTATACCCTACAAAGTATTAATTCAAAACCTCAAAGATGAAACCCAATCTTTTAATGATAGAAGAATGGTCCTTTAAGATTCGAAACACGACCGAGTGACCTTTGTTCCGGGTTTTAGTATGGAAGATGGAACGGGCATCGATTACTTATTGTGGCTCAATGAATGAATCGTATGTCAAAGATAAAAAAACAGCGGTAAACAACATGGGCAGAGGCAGATTAATACTGTAGAAGAATATCAAAGAAAGCGAGAAGCTATTATAGATTTCTAAGTGGGGTTTAAGACAGTTTTAGTATGGGCTATAATCCCAGCTTATCTGTTTATATCCGCATTCCGGGTGTTATAAATCAATATTCTATTGAAACTGGGGATCAGACGGAAATTGATTTCTGACATGTATAGTTTAAAGCTATGATATATAGTCCAATTTATATGTGCAACAGTCTTAGACAACAAGAATTTAACATTACCCTCTCAACAGCTGTATTTATTGGAAGGTATAGTTAAAGACCCCCACATCGATTAATTAGTTCGTTATTCTAAAATCAATATGCACATTTTGTCTCACCCTACATTATGGTTTAAGGGTGGTAATTAAGCCTTTAAAATCATTCTAAAGACACGCTGGTCGACAACCCGACCGTAATAATTCTGATAGATCGATAAATTATTGATTAATCGGGAATAAAGAAATGAAATATTAACGACATTTTATATTTATATCCTCTATCAGAAGGTTCTGTTGGTTAAACTCATCGACATCTTAGTTAATCAAGAATTTGGATTGTATATGACCAAACACTGAAGAAATACCACTGATCAGAAAAGGAAATCAAATTCACATTATTATCAATCACCAGAAAGTTTTGATTTGAAAGTCCCCAAAAAAATGTTTGAGGTGGTCTGCAGCCCCCCCTCCCCCAAGCCTATTTAGCCTGGGTAATTTGAACAATTTTTCATTAAGAAAATACCTGTTTCGTATTCAAGGATGCCATAACAGAATTCTGCTTGTAAATAAACACGGAATTTTCTTTTTACTCCCGAAAATGTTAAGTAGGGTGGCTATTGTATTTAACTAATAGATATTGCATACTACATGTATGCCAGCATTATACGTGGCAGCCTATTTACATTGAAATGGGGTTTAATGTCCTACATTTCCTCACCATCCAGGCTAATAAAGACGGACATACGCCATACAGTGTGCAACCAGGAACATTATTTCCTGACAGCGGAAATTTCAACTGCCAAGGGGTCTTAATTCGAATTCACACTGTCAATGGTTCTTTTACTCGGGTCCTCGGTTTTCGTACTATCCGAACGACTAATCTATGTTCCTTTCCAGGGCGCTGCGTCCGTCACTATTTAAAATGTGATGCAATTTTAGTTTAAATAATACATTGGTATATACATCTACTATTTTACTTTCGAAAATATACAATAATACCAACCTTAACTTCCTGTTCAGATATTCCCACCTCGGCAGCGATTATTACCATATCTAAATCTGACGGATTGCGATTGTCCTTGAAATTTGTTTCTAATTGTTTCAACTGATCCATGCCCAGTCTTGGTAAAAGATAGGATGGCATTAAATGCGCTTGGATGCTTGCCATTATAAGAGTTAATTGCACAGCCCAGAAGTAGAATCCACGCTATAAATTTGAACTAATAATATACTTTTCACATCAAAACAACAGACGCTAATTAAAGGAATAACAGTCTCACGCGTCAACTCCTGTAAACACTGCTGCTACATAATGTGAGCTAGTTCCTGATATTAGTTAAATTTCCAACAGACGTAGAGACTGGTCGATAAAAGTCTGTGTCCTTGAATATCAATATAGCGAAGTCATATATACACAAGTGGTGGCTATTGCTAGTTATGACGATATCACCTCTACATGAATACACGATTTAAACTCTTAATATACTTATATTGAAGGTTGTCAAAAGTATTCATGGATTCATCCAATATACTTTGCCCGGTTAGAAGTAAATAATGTCCTAATTTTTTCACGACATATATAGTCTAGTAGGCTACGAACCTACTGAAGTTTTCACAAAGCCCCATACACACACCACGAGGACGCTTGTTCAACCAATCCATACAATGACCGTGCTTTAGCAGACGACTTGGAATTGATTAAAACCCGCCTATGTCGAATCACATCTGCCTGACAAAATGTTCCATTATTCACGGTTTTATCCAATTATCTGATGCGAGCACGATCGTTCATTGTTGTGGCGCATTTCTCTATTTAAATCCATGTAATCGGAATGTCGAAATCTAGCCTTGGTTGACTAATTAGAAGTCTATTTAATGATAAAAAAATCGATATGAAACCTACGATTACCCAGTATTTTAAAACCGTTGATATTTAATGTTCATATATCTATCCCCAAGTTTATGTGTACAAATCGATAAGGACTTATGCGATTGTACAATTATTGAATCAATAATTATTGTTTATATTGCTGTCACGTGTGGTGACGTGTAGTATACTAAATATAGATAACCGCTTACACATTTTATGTATGACTCTATTCATAGTGTGTAGCAAATTGTTAAATATATCGTACCATGTCACCCCCTACGACAATGTTAATACAAGGCTTTAGAACATAAACACAACATTACTAGTATTATATTAGTATGTCTATGATACATATACTAATAATCTGGGTATAGAAATAGCTGTATGTATTAAAGGGCTCGTTGCTCTTTTTTTGGTTTGCAACCTGAAAATAGACGACAAGGAGTGTAAAAGCACATATTAATATAATATGAATGTTTACGCCTGCAGCTTATCCGTTCATTACGTTTTTTATTTTAAAATTTTTGTTTTGTCGTTCGTGAATCAACCAATTACTTCTGTATTGTCTTGTATGATATGTATTTCTTTTTACATTCAAATGTCGCACAAGAAGACACGATTCGTGTACTAATTTTAAAATTAGATATTGGATATTAGGATTACACGTTTTCATGGCAAAAATACAACATGGATATCGAATGTTACGGGAAATATTGAATTTAGCTCCTTTAATAGTTTTCATAAACTGTCCACTGAACAGTTTCAATAGTCTAATTATCCATTTATTCTGAATACATAGATACCGGTTTAATTGCGTGTAATTTCTGAAAATAAAATATTTGATAATATATGGCTATCGAACTTGGCTGCATATGTCTGAATAAATAAAACGTTTAAAATATAGCGAAATATATAAAAAAATATTATTAAATCTAAAACTGTAATTTGTGTTTCTTTCGCAAAAGAATGTCCTTAATTCAGAGGCTATACTATTTAAAAGAAGTCTGCAGGTTTAGAAGGGGGTCGGGGCAAGTTGGAGGGGGTTGATTTAATCATGAAACTATAGCTTAAAATCAATATACTTGTTCGTCTCAAGACCTTAAATCTGTGTATCGATCTAAAGTCAATCGAAATGATTATATATAGGCGTAAACACGGTGTATAAATATAAAATCAATAAGATGATAACTAATACTATGGTCGCTAAAACATCCACTAGATTTTTCAAAGTAATCAAGGGCCATAACTCTGGCAGTAATTATCGGAAATCGTAAAAATGAATAGGCTTCTTCGTCTCATGACCTTTAACACTTGGGGGATCACGTGGCTAAGTGGGTAAGACGCTGGCTCGCTAGCCTGGAAGTCGGGTGTTCGATCCCTGCATTGGCCGAGAAAGTTCATCCAGATTTTCCGGCGTGGTTCCCTCTTGTCAGTGATGCAGGACGGAGGGCCTGGCATTTCAATGCAACCGTACAAGTAAGAAACCATTTTGTGGTATCTGTATTATCGTATGGGTTCATTCTATTTGTTAATAGGAATCAAATATCACAATTTTATAAAACATTACAAATCAGACTCATTTGGAAAAAATATCTGTTTTGAAGGCTAAAAATACAGTTTTTGTCCAAATGACGTCATTTCCGGTGATGGTGTAAATGTTAATTGGCTTTAGGCATCAAATGGTAAAAAACAATTGAAAATCGAATGATAATTTACTCGTTCCCAGGCTAAATAACGTGAAAACTGACGCATGCAAAATTGCCTTTTTCTCGGCAACTGAGAATATATTATTACGATTAAATTTCACATACATTCTCTTCGTATGGATTAATGCTACAGGTTCATGAAAGTTGTCAAGAAATATTTTAAAATATGAAAAGCCCGAATGCATTGTAAATAGCTTATTTATACACCTTTTTTCACCTTTAAATCAGAATGGTGCAAATGCAAAACTGAAAAAAAAAAAAAAAAACTAAGCAAGACATATTTTGCAGCTTTATTAGGAGAATTCATCTTCAGCTATTCGATATGTAAACATTAATATTTGCTTTTTAAAAGACCTTTTAGACACGTCAAAATTGAAGTTTTGTGCAAACTTACGTCGCTTCCGGTGCCGACAGAAACTTTTATCGGTAGAAGAAAGTTGAAAATGTCTTGTATTAGTCTTACAAAATTACTTTGGAAAGTACTGAAGTGACCATAATGTCATTACTAGACAAATTACTACTTTTCTACAGTAAATATCGATAGAAATATCTACTTTAAATTAAATATTATATTCATTTATTTATACCACGAGTTTAAGGATAGATACGCATATAATCAAACCATTTCCAGTTGCATCTCGCCTTCAAGCTTACAAAACTGAATTTAAAAATACCAAGATAACAACAATATGATAGAAGACAATAGAATAATAATAAAAACCATAAACGTTTACATTAATTACAGTAATATAAATATATCTATGATATAAGACACTTTTTTTTTTATCTATGGTAGATAAAAGATACTCGTGAGTCGTGCTGTGCCGAGCATTTCTCAGTTGTGGCAATTTATGTATAAATTTTGACCAGTATTGTTCAGGTCAAATTATGATTATTGTTGTTGAAAATTTACATCTTAATGTCAGACAGGTTATAATTATGGCCCATATATCAGTGACTTAACAGTTCGATTTATGTTTGAACCATCTGGAAATATCCACATGAAAAAATATAATATGAGCAGTACCGAACTAGTCACTACTCGCACGGGGCACAAATCCATTATACCATATGAGGATGCAGACCACCAAAGTTTTTCCTTTGATTTTAGTGTATTTTTCTCGTTCAATAGATAGCTATTATGGTGGTCTGCCACAATTAATAAAGTGTTGTTTGTAAATTTTCAGGCGATTATGTAGCCGTAAAATTTAGCCCTATGTAACCCCAAAGGTAAACATCAACCATTTAGTATCATGTCGTATTTCTGGCCAATATAACTCCCCGAAAAGTGAATTTTACTATACCCTTTAACCCAGATATTATTGGAATTCAGATTGGATGAATCACGCAATGCCTAGGTTCCACTGGGCAATTTTGTCTCGGGGATGTACTACCGATGGAAATTGATGAGCCTTGGGAGGCGTCGCGAACAGGTTTACTGACATCCCAGGGAAGCTTCGGGAGCGCCGCAAGCCATGTGGAACCACTGAAGGGGATGGGGGAGGGGGGCTCGGAACAACTGCGAAACAAGCATTGAAATTTTTCCCGATGTGTTCTCTACGTGTTGTCGGGAAAACAGACCGGGGATACATCTCCGAGGCTTTCCAGATCCATGGGGAAGCGCCGGGATGCTTCCCTGGAGCTCTCTATAAATATTTCCCCTCTGGGGCATCGTCGATTCATATATCCTCGGAGGTCCCATGATACTCCGGGAGAATAATATTTTGAGGAAATTCCAAGGAAGCATCCCCGGAGCTTCCTTGTGAATCCGGAAACCACCGGGGATGCTTCCCTGGCCAGTTTTCCAGACAAAACGTCGCAGTTCTTCCGAATCTCCCCACTCCCAACACTCACACACTCGAAGCTTCCCTGGGACCGTTCCCGAAGCCTCCCGATGCTCATCAATTCCCATCGGTAGTACATCGCCGATTAAAAAAATCGACAGAAAACGTAGCCAATCACAAGATGTCTTCTATATCACACTGTTTCAGTAAAGCAAAAAGTTTTTTTCCACACTATTTCAGTATCATAAAGAAATGCCGTTTGTTACACTATTTCAGTACCATAAAGCAAAAGGTCTTTTGTCACACCATTTTTGTATCATAAAGCAAAATGTCTTCTGTCACACTAGTTAGGTAGCATACAGCAAAATGTCTTTTGTCACGCTATTGAAGTACTATACATCATTGTCTTACATGATTTAATTCAGAACACTGTGTATTTTTCTGTCTAAATTTCGTCTTTCGGGTAATGTAAGACCTGTGTGCAAAGATTCTTGTTCATCTTCATCAATACCGTCCTGTGATTCACAGGAATTGCTTATATTGTTTAGCACTTTCTTTTGCCGCGAATGTGTTCTTGAAAAAGGTGAATCGCTTCTGGACAGAGCTTGCATGAAATCATTGCTCTCGGCACAACTTGATGAACAATTTCTCTTGTTTCTAGCGCTTAGTTTTGAAGGAGGTAACTTATCGTTATGATAGGAATGTCTTCTTTCTTGTAACAAGTCGTTTCCCGAACGTAGCAATGAAAAACTGAAAGATCAAAATGGTTAAAATGATATAAGGTTAATAATAAATTATAACATAATTTGTAAAACTGATATCCTATCCAATCTGGGGAGCATAATATTTATCACATGATAACTGTATTTTTGTCAAAGAATAAAAAACTGATTTTCGGCCAAATATTCCTAACTGTTGACATTTGCACGTCGATTCACGACTGCGGGAAAAGACAGTTGTCCTTACTAACGAACTGCAATAGCAACGGAGGCGGTTCTTTTGTGAAAACAAAACCAGCCAACGTCAAAATTTCGACCTAATATAGACAAATCTCACCACAGCCCAAAGTGTAGACTCCTGCCCTTACTGTCATTAGTTAAGTGGTAGCCTAAATCAATTCGAAACAAAATATTAATAACGTAATACAAAAGGCTAATTAATACATTTCATTCTCCTAAGATGAATATAGTTATGTTCCGCGTATCGTACTTTCAGACTTTGGGGCTATAGAATTCGTAAATATTTACTCACTTAGAAAATCTTTGATCCCCTTCAGCTGGTGGCGTAGGTGATCTTGGGCCTGATTCTTCCTTCATAATGGCGGATATCCTTTCGTGTGGTAATAAACCCCGTCCTGAAATATAGTATATAACCTTTTTACCACAGTCAAGTACAGACACAGGCGGCCATAGACAATAAGTTAGCCCAATACCACCCCCACTCGTGTACAGATCATGCGTGCGAGTAAAACAACCCCTGATGCATTTGAAATCAGATCAGAAGGCAATCAAATCCACGCCCTGTCCCTCTACAGCATTGTAGACGTAACTGTGGGGAACAAAAATGACCTCTCTATTGTATTTCCGATATACGTTAAACTCCTTTTCATTCTGGAGCCACGGTGGCTAGGTGGGT